TTCACCTGTGGGGGGCACTGCAGGTCCAGTTCAGTATTTGACCTTTATTCACCTGTGGGGGGGGGCTGCAGGTCCAGTTCAGCGTTTGACCTTTATTCACCTGTGGGGGGCACTGCAGGTCCAGTTCAGTATTTGACCTTTATTCACCTGTGGGGGGCGCTGTAGGTCCAGTTCAGTATTTGACCTTTATTCACCTGTGAGGGGTGATACAAGTCCAGTTCAATATTTGACCTTAATTCACCTTTGGGGCGCTACAGTTGCAGTTCAGTGTTTGACCCTAATTCGCATGTGGGGGGCACTGCAGGTCCAGTTCAGTGTTTGACCTTTATTCATGTATGGGGGCGCTACAGCTCCAGTCCAGTGTTTGACATTTATTCACCTGTGGGGGGCGCTGCAGGTCTAGTTCAGCATTTCACCTTTATTCACCTGTGGGGGGCGGTGCAGGTCCAGTTCAGTGTTTGACCTTCATTCACATGTTGGGGGCGCTGCAGGTCCAGTTCAGTGCTTGAACTTTTTCGCCTCTGGGGGGCGCTGCAGGTCCAGTTCAGTGTTTGACCTTTATTCAACTGTGGGGGGCGCTGCAGGTCCAGTTCAGTATTTGACCTTTATTCACCTGTGAGGGGTGATACAAGTCCAGTTCAATATTTGACCTTAATTCACCTTTGGGGCGCTACAGTTGCAGTTCAGTGTTTGACCCTAATTCGCATGTGGGGGGCACTGCAGGTTCAGTTCAGTGTTTGACCTTTTATTCGCCTGTGGGGGGCGCTGCAGGTCCAGTTCCATGTTTGATCTTTAATGACCTGTGGGGGGCGCTGCAGGTCCAGTCCAGTGTTTGACCTTTATTCATCTATGGGGGCGCTACAGCTCCAGTCCAGTGTTTGACATTTATTCACCTGTGGGGGGCGCTGCAAGTCTAGTTCAGCATTTCACCTTTATTCACCTGTGGGGGGCGCTGCAGGTCCAGTTCAGTGTTTGACCTTCATTCACATGTTGGGGGCGCTGCAGGTCCAGTTCAGTGCTTGAACTTTTTCGCCTGTGGGGGGCGCTGCAGGTCCAGTTCAGTGTTTGACCTTTATTCACCTGTGGGGGGCGCTGCAGGTCAAGTTCAGTGTTTGATCTTTAGTCACCTGTGGGGGGCGCTGCAGGTCCGGTCCAGTGTTTGACATTTTTTCTCCTGTGGGGGGCGCTGCAGGTCCAGTTCAGTGTTTGA